CTCTGTAGACCAGGCTGGCCTCGAACTCACAGAGATCCACCTGCCTCTGCCTCCCGAGTGCTGGGATTAAAGGCGTGCGCCACCACCGCCCGGCTGGAAGTGTTTTTTGAAGCTTCCCATATTGACCCCAAGCGCTTCCCTAAAAGCTGTATATACTATTCATAATTCATAATACAATCAAATTATTGAGACTGGGCATGTAGCTCAACAGCAAAGCACTTGCCTAGCAAGGGCAGGGCCATGGGTTCAGTCCCCAGTAACAGAAGAAGAATTAAAACAGAAATAAAACCAAATTATTTTCACACTACTTATTAATAAATAGGAAGAGACCTTTATTTTTTCAACTAATTATCACAGTTTTACTTTTATTTCATACATTAGAAGAATGTAATGAAATGTCAAAATTATCTCACATTTATGTAAAATAAATGTCAGTATTATCTCACATAAAATGCCAATATCATCTCACAGGTCTGGGTTAAAGCAGGGGTTATGGGTTTTCTAATGTCTCAGCAAAAGATAGTTAAGATCAAAAAGAAGGCTGACAGGAATTCATAAGCAATCAATGATTCAAATCCATTGATAGTCACATTGTATGAAAACTACTTTATTTAATTCTGTGCTGTACTCCCAAAATGAAGGTGAGCAGAAATTAATCTGAATGTCTCCTCACGGCCCCATAACTGTCAAATTGACCAGGAAATCTCCCTTTACTGTCTGCCATTTCATCAAGAGTACCTACGCCCCTTAAAGAAGAAAGAGTCTGAGTGAAGGGGAAACAGCATTAGGTCGAGCATGGTGTCCAGGTCTAATCTTTGGAAAGACTTGGTTGGTGAGCCAGAGGCCAGTGCATCAACCCTCTGAGGCACTAAAGTTCCCTGCCCTTATGAAATAACCCTTCTCTGCTTCGCCTTTACAGTTTGTGCTAAGCCTGTTTTGAAAGAAGAATGACTGTCCCATCACATCATCCACAGGCAGCTGCTGGAGGAACAGATGGTAGACGACAGCCTAACTTCTTTTCATGTGGTGCCAACTAGCCGCACTGGCAAAGATGGCAGCTTCGGATCTCGCCCTTTATCTGGTCTCTTCTAAGGTCTCATTCGGGAAGATTTACCACTAAAATAAGTCCTTGATTTACTCACATATAGTGAATAAAAACCTTAGGCCGTGTAAATACAAAATTGAGTAATCTGATGACCGCCTTGCTATTAGAATCCCCTGGAGTATGGCACAAGGGGATAATATTTACCACAAAATTTAAGTTAGGTGCGGTATCAGAGAAATTACATTTTAATTAGTAAAAAATATTTCAGCTAATAAAGCTACCTATAATAACCAACATCGTACATGGATGCTACATGTGTCCAGCCAGAGAAGATTTACTGCACAGTTGGACTTAGAAATAGCAATGATGGAAACCTCACTTTTACATGGCCTTTCAGAGAAAACGCTAACACTACAACACATCCCAGAAAATGCGTACTTTCTTGGCTTAAAATTATGCGACAAAGCTCTGGACTGTTCTTAGGTTTCAGCTTTTTAATAAGAAACAAACCCAATCATGGTGGTCCAAATGACTAACTAGAACTGTGTACTGATCTACAAAGAGTCCCACTCAAAATGAGTTTTCAACGGTTCCCTTTTCAGCCAAACTCGACGTTCCAGTTGAGAAGGGCCTTGCAGGTGGACATGCTAGAATTTTGAGAGCCCTGTCTTGTTCCTGTTGGTGTTTTAACTGTGACTTATAACTGAGCGATAGCTCAAGGAACTGTAGCCAGCCTGGGGAGGGTCAGGCAGCTCAAAGGGTGTGGTATCTGGAGGTGGAGAATGTAGATCAGTCAGGCGGGGTTTGACCAGCTGGATACAAGCTCCCCATGCCTCATCAACAACGTCACCCAATATTAATCAGTGTTCTCAGGATCACATTTCTTCACCAGCAATTAGGAGTTATGACATCCTCCGACTGGGGTGTAAACAGGCCCTCCCCTTTTTGACTAGTGAAGTCACTAGGTACGGAAGGGACTGACCTTGCCCAAGGTCTCCAGGAAAACAGCAGCAGACCAGTGATTAAAACAAGTGCCTTCGTCTGCTCTGTGCTCAGCCCTGTGCTTGAAGCAGGAACCCCGGGTAACGTACATCTAGACATTCACAAACCCAGCCTCACCGCCTCTGTACTCGGTGTTGTTCCTCCAGTCATTGAGGTCGATTTCAGCTGTGCCCGCGATGACCAGCTCCAGTTCCCGCGCGTCGAAGACAGACACGAGCCTGGCATCGACCACCTGTGGAGGTGAGGGAGCCCGGGCTTAGGAGCCTGGAGAAATGCCAGCCCCACGGAAGCCTCATCAGAAATGCCGGACATGGGGAATTTCAAGAGCACTGTGGTTATGCTCGGCGTTAGTATGTGAATCTTGTCGTGGTCTCTACAGATGGAAGAAGGCGTGTTTCTCGTTCAAAGCTGGTAGGCTGAGCCTCTAGAGTTTTTGTGTGGGTTGATCACCATATCCCACTGAACATGCTAGGTCTCCTCTGGTCTCAGAAGCTAAGCAGGGCAGGGTCTGGTGAGGACTAGAATAGGAGGGCTTTGTTTCACAACTGATTAATCCAGTTGTTTGTAGTTTTTCTTTTGAAAAAGATCCAGTGATCTTACAGAGAAAGTGACATGGGATATATGTGATCAGTTCTGGCCTGTACACACCATCATTGCACATACCAAGTATGAGATTTGATTATGCAGACCTGAGTATGAGTAAGAATCATAACTTCCATGTTATCAGTAGTCATTAAACCATTAAAATGGTACGCCTAGAGTCAGAATACCACTCATGTCGGTGATCTCTAATAGCATGCACAGGAAGCTTTCACATGTGTGCTTTGGAGATATATGGGGATAGATTTGAAAGTTTGAATGAAAAGAGCAAGAGTAGACTCAGCGAGAGAGAAGAGAAAAATGTCCTATACTCGAAGGCCGGCAGAGCAGACCGGCAGCCCAGCTGTGGACTGCAGACGTGGACTGCAGACGGCTGCCACGCCGCCTTACCTCATAGAAACCGCGGACCAGGCTCTCGGTCTGCTGCACCACGCCCCTCTCAATCCTCCACTTCACCATCCTCTCTATGTACTCCTTCTTGTTCTTCTCTGTGACTGGAATATTGGCTCCCCCGGGTTTTAACTCTCGCTCGGTGATCTGCCATTAAAAAGCAAAGGAGCTGATCAGCAAACAATGCACTTGATGCTAACCGCTACCCATGAGCTGAGGTCAGGCGTCTGGCTCCTCTCCACCTCAGGAGCATCCCACAGCAGCGAGAAGCATCTAAGACAGCGGTTCTCAACCTTCCTGACGCTGTGACCCTTTAATGTAGTTCTTCTTGTTGTGCTGACCCCCAACCATAAAATGATTTCATTGCTACTTTACAAACTGTAATTTTGCAACTGTTATGAATTATAATGTAAATGTCAGACATGCAGACGGTCTTAGGCGACCCCAGTGAAGGGATCGTTCAATCCCCAAAAGGTCACAACCCACAGAGGTTGAGAACCGCTGATCTAAGGTTTAGAATCAACTACACCTACTGAGCCAGTATAAAAGATATACTTAAGGAAAATAGAAACACACCTTAGTAAATCTTAAACTGAGAGCTCATTTTTCAAAGCACGTAAACTGCAGGAAACTCAGATGAATCCCAATGCCTAGTGAGAACTAATACACAGCCCCTGATTGAAATTTTTTAGTCTTCCCTTCCATCAAATTTAATAAAACCAGTATGGTCTCTGCTTTCACACATTGTCCCAAATATTCTCTCTGTTTCAAAGCAACCAATTACAGTTTTTAAATCTAAATGAATCTTAATTTTATATTACAATTAAATAACTTAATATTCAACTCAGGGATAGCAGAGACTATCCATATGAATTCTGTATAAGATACATTCTCATATCTCTAGATATGTCTAGATATGCTCATTTCTCATATCCATTTGAGTTGGAAATAAAAAGATTATTTATAATAAATAAATGCTTCTCACGATCTATAAATGAGAACATCTTAAACTATAGTTGGCCTTAGAGTAATCTCTGTTTTCAAGCTTACTACAATTTAGTAGTCCTGGGTTCAATCACTTAATAAGCCACAAATAGACTAGCATTTTATCTTAGTCATAGAATTAACTTTTCATCAGCTGACAGCCTTCAGTTAGCATGGAACAGACCTGTCCAAAAACTTCTTCGTTCACCGTGAACGTGAGGTCTAGGATGTCATGGATGTCATTGTCTTTCATCCACTGAAGGCTTTGGTGGAACTCCTCATCAAGGTACTCTAGATCACTCAGGTCACACAGGCTAGGATGGCAGACAGAAGCAAACATACAGGCCTCGTTATTAGCAAACTCCAGAATCACAAGGAAGGAACAAGACCCATTCATTCCACAGGCTGTGTGTGGTACTTGGAATATTCACGAGTTCGCAAATTACACTACTGAAGTAAGACAGAATTATGGCGTACATTTTTAAATCCTGGATACATAAAATGCCACAGGAACCACTTACCCATCTTTTCTCTCAAAAATTGAACCCGGAGGTACAAAGAATGGCTGCCATTTACATGGTCATCCACAACCAGTGCCAGATCTGGACCTGGAACAGGTTGAAAACTTGCACCAAAATTCTCTTTCACTATCTTATCCTATCAAAATTTACTGTACTCCCAATTTGAAATTTTTTATTGATTTCTCTACCACCCTTTACCTTTGTTTTTCACTTGTCTTTTTAAAAAGACTGGATGCTGTAACTGATGTCCATCCATTTCCCCTTTTCTCATGGTTCTTACCCTACCACTATAAAAATAGCCAAAGAATTCTTCTACGACCACAAAACTTTCCTATACTTCACTCCACTGATGTTTTCATTCTCTTAGCAGTGACAAGAGCTACCTGAGCTAGAGTTACTCCTACACGCCCTGGTGTAAGGTGGTAGTGATGAATTTGTTTCAAAATGTCTTGCCTTTCAGCTCAATTTCAAGGGTTGTCTCATTTGGTTTATTTTAGGTATTTATTAGGGTATCAAATGTAGGCCACACATATTAATAACCGCTTGGTGAACTTGTTGCTCTGGGAAGGAAGTGGTCTTGTTGGGGAGACCGGCACACCGTAGCTGAGCTCCCATAAAGTGGGGGCTGACGGCAGAGGAGGCAGTGGTAACACTCATGCACAGCTGAAAATGTACGCTGCTTCATTAATAATCAAATAAGACTGGACGTGGCGATCCACGCCACAGCTCCAACCCTAGGAAGGCTTGGGTAAGGGCTGCAAGTCTGAGCCCAGCCTGGGCCGGAGAGTAAAACTCTGTCTCAAAAAGAAAGAAAAAAGGAAGAAAAGGAAGTACCAAAACCATGAAAGAGCTGAGATCAGATGGGGCCTGTATTTCACCTTTCAGGATGAAGAAACTCCAGAGATAGAAAGGGACAGGGCTGGAGGAAAGGGGGAATGGAGGAGAGAATAACGGAAACAAACCCAAAGGCATAGAGTGCAGAATACTCCAGGCACATGGGAAGCCCTGGAGTACTGAACATAAGACACTCTCAGCAGCCTAAGAATGAGGACAGAGAAGTAGCTGAGAGCAAGTCTTGAATGCCATTCTAAGACTCACGGGAATTCGGGTTCAAGACAAGGAATGGTGTGACCAGGGAGGGAGAGGAGTGATAAACAGTTCTTCTGGAAGATCCTGAAGAGACTGTTTAAAATGGGATGGAAAGCAGTTAACATTACTTCAGTAACGTAGTCAAAGTAAGAGACACGTTCTGAGGAGGACAAGGCTCTTCAGAGGGTAGAGGCAGGAGCACAGAAACCAGGAAACGGTCATGCTGAAAAGGAGTAGAGAGGAGATGATCTAAAATAGGGACAGCAAATGAATCCACGCCACAGGCCAACTCTGAAGGTCACTCTGACCTCAACCACGCGGCCTACGCCGATCAACAATTTTCAGTGAAATGAACCGAAAAGACTTCTGAGGTCACATGATTTCGGTGGAAAAAGTACCGCAGGTCCCTTAAAAGTACTCCACCACGGGATGGGAACAGAGGCAGTAAAGGATGCAGTGAAGGTTAATAGTGTCCACTGAAAGGATGCAGAATCACCAAGGAGACAGCCTCTGGGTGTGCCTGTCGGGAATTTTCTAGATTAATTTAATTGTAGTGGAAGACCCACCTAAACGTGTGCAGAACCAACCTTTCCATGGGCTGGGGTTCCGGATTGAATAAGAAGAAGAAATCAAGCTGGGCACTCTCTCTGCTTCCTGCCTGAGGATGGAATGTGACCAGCTGGCCTGCCGGGATGGCCAGCATTCCTCAAACTGTAAGTTAGAACAAACCTCTAAGTTGCTCTGGCCAAGGATTTTTGTCACAGCACCGAGAACGCAACTTGAAAACCTGTACTGTGTGTCTGCTACACTTGTTTAAGGGTCCCTTCTGATGTCTAACCATAATAACCAAGAACATGTGTACCATTAACTTCTGGTGGACACATAGAAGTTTCACTTCAAGGCCCATAATGAGTTCCACTTGAACTATGCAAACTTGGGATCCCCCTGAAACACCCAAGAAGCGATGTTCAGAGGACGGTCCACATGAGCCTGCATCTAAAGAAAGCAAGACTGGGGGGGGGGCCTAGATTCCGTGGTGCTTAGGAGAAGAAGCAAGTGGAGAAATTTCCTCTGTCAGAGGAAAGCTGGGGCATGGGATGGAAGCTTCTGGAACTCCAAGGTGAAGGGCATGTCAGAGGAAAGGCCCACAGAGGACTGAGAAGAGGGAGGACCCAGTGTCACGAGTGTCAGGGTAGGAAAGACCCGGGATAAACTCGAGGGTGACAGAGAGAACTTTTGGTTTCTGACTGCCTCTGCTACCCCAGAGTTGAATATTAGTATCAGAAGTAGCAGGATGATTTAAGAAGATAAGGCTAAGAAGCGCTCGTCAGTAGCTCGCACGTGTTCCTGGAGGGAGAGGAGCCAGAACCAACACACGTGGTGGAGGGTGTGACTTAGCAGTGGGTACAGCTTTCAGGAAACCTAAGGAGACCAGGAGAAGACAACAGGGAGCCGGCAAAGGTGGCAAGTCGCTGGTCCTTGTCACCCAGGAGGAAAGTCTTCCCACTGAGCACACTGAAGTCTCATGAGAAACATTACATTAGTTTTCATCTGAGGTCAGGACTTCTTCACTTTAGGAAAGAAGAGGTCCATGGGCTTGATGGGAGGATGTGCCAGACAGCTCCCGGCCATGACTCAGTACTTGAGAACTTTGCAGTTTAAGTCAAATGTCGAGCTTCCTCCCCCTCCATTTGTCTTCTGCTTGGTCTTCTAAGTGACCGCAGACTGAATATAAGGGCTGGTTTTGCTCTACATTGTTACAATAATTGCTATCTTTCCTTGTGACAGAAACAAAGAAAAAGTTCTACGGATGCTAATTTTTCATCTGCCCCATACACTGCTATTTTGATATAGGAAGGTCTCAAAAGAAGTATGGCACTGTCTATGCCTCACAAAGAAACCAAAAATAAAACCGAAATTAAACAAAAGAAAATGAACCTGTGACCAAGAACAAGCTGTTGGAAGTGCTTAGAGCAAAATGCAGCACGCACTTCATAAAGGGCACAGGCTGTGAGTCACCAAGACTAATCCACAACTATTCTATTAATAATCAGCATCGATGCCGCAAGAATCTCAGGGCTGTTTGAAGTACAGTTGTTTTAAAGAAACATGTGTTGCCGCAGATGAGGACCAACTATTCAGAGAGGAAAAAAAAAACACTAAGATTAGGTGGGTAATCAGAAATAAAGGGTTAGAAGCTAATAACTATGTTTGAAATTGTATTTGTTTTCGAAATCTAAACGCTATTCACTCAACAACTGATTTGTGACAGTGTGCAGATAAACAGGGTCCTTGGAAAAAAGCTCTTCAGGAAAGGACTTTTGAGCTTTACATGCTGACTACGCCAGTATAGACGTTCACTTACATTCTGAGAAGAGCCTTATAGAAGGGTCGCGTGAAGAAGGCGTCCAATAAATACTGGTGTATTAGTGCAAGACCGAGGATCCTCCCACTGAACCGGAACCTGTGAAGGAGACACACGAGGCAGCTGAATACTACTGAGCAGCGTCTTGAGGGCTGTGTTTACCTCTTGGAATGAATTTCAACTCTGTTTGTCCAGGACTACCTGCCTACCAGCTCTGTGAGAGATTCGGGGTACTCTAGAGTATGTCTTCATTAGCCAGTGTTTACTTGCGGAGGAAATCTGTTCCTCTAATATTTAGGGACACCCTATCCTTAGTCCATGTTAGCAATGTCACCCTGTATCGCCCCGCATGTGACAATATGAATTCCCCACAGCCTTTCAGTGAAATTTCCCCAAACCATCCCAAGAGATCCTGATAAAGACTAAGAAGGTTGAGAAAATGTCATCTTCAGTTTGTGTGCATGGATATTAGTTGATGTCTCTCATGCAAACGAGGAGCAATTCCCTTGCGATGAAAAGCCCTTATGCAGATTGAGGAGGTTCCCATCCATTCATCCCTGCTCTCTCCAGCCTCACCCTGATGGTAAACACCATCACTCACACAGTATTCATGCAGGCATTTGGGGGGCTTTCCTCATGAGACACTCTGTTCTCCAAAATGAAATGCTATTCTGAATCAACTTGGAAACTTTATTATTCAGATCTGTTCAGACTGGGGTTTCTGCCTGAGGTACACGATTGTTTTCTCCATCACAAGTTTCCTGGTTTCCAGATCTTCAAAGTCTGATGCCTACAAGAGGACTGTGGCTCTCTAACTTTAGTCAGGAAGCTCTTTGAGGTCAGTGGCCGCAGGCAGCTTGGTTCCTCTCTATTTCCACTTAGGTTAGCACAGCTGTTAACAGCCAGAGTTAGGAGGCCGCCAAAGGTGTGACTAAACAACAAGCAGTTCATTTGAGGAGCAAGTCCTCAGAGTTAATGCTTTTCACCATCGATAGCCGCATGACTCCAAGAACCCTTCCCACTTAGGTTCTTTCTCTGTTACTATGGGGGGGGGGGCGCGGCGTGCGACCGGGAACAAGTTAATAGAAGTTATGTAAATATTTAAAGTCTACAAATGCAGGGATTTGAAAAAGATGTAAGGACATTTGGAAAGAGTGTAATTGGGGATTTTTCAGAATAAGTACCTCCAGATGGGAATCCTGAAATTGTTTGCCTTGGTTTATAGTGTGATCAATTAAGAAAAAGGCAATCTCTGCTTTCCAGCGTTAAGTGGCTGACACGTGCTGGTGTGTGAGGGGGTGGCACACCCACTTCCCATTCCTGCACTTGAGCTGCCTGCATTTCCCCCAGGGGACCCTCTACACACACACACACACACACACACACACACACACACACACACACACATTCACTCACTCGAGCATACACACACTCACTCTCACACACTCTCTGATAAATATGAACAGGCCTCAGCCAGGGCCCCGGCTGTTCCAGCTCCCCTCATCCAAAGCCAGATTTCCCCAGGCTGTTAGCAAAGCTGCTTGGCCTCTACCAGAAGGACCTGGGCAGTGGTTCTCAACCTGTGGGTCATAACCCCTTTGGGGTTGCATATCAGAGATTTACGTCATGATTCATAAAAGTAGCAAAGTTACAGTTATGAAGTAGCAAAGACATGATGTTATAGTTGGGGTCCCCACAGCATGAGGAACTGTGTTTAAGGGTCACAGCATTAGAGGGGTTGAGAACCACTGGACTTGGGTCTCGCTAAAAATTGAATCACCCTGTAACATTTCTCCAATTCAAAAGTTTTTGAATTAATTAACTTTTGACAACAAAAATAAAATCCAAATGAGGTGTATGACTGATAATGTAATTTTTAACCAGGAGGGGAAAATGTTTACAGAAATGTGTAGTGGGTAGCCATTCCAGCTTTGATATGGAAGTTCCAACCCCCATTGAGACTTCGGCAACTGTCACACCTACAAGGTGGGGCCAAGGGAGGTGCCTGGAGACCCTGGATCTGGATGGGCGAGCACTCTCTCTGTTCCTGGACCCTAGACGGTGGAGTGGACCGAGCAGAGCTCCAGAGAACACCACTGGATTGTGATACACCTTCCCCAGACCCTGTGACCTACCTATCCCTTCATTTGTAAGTTACGCCATTAAATAAATCTTCCTTTTAACTACGTGGAGTGGCCTTAAAAATTTCACCAATAGAAATGTGGCTTCCTTTTGGGGGGGACAAGGGGAGCTACTACAGGGGAGGATAACAGTCACAGAAACAAAGTCCTTACCATTCGTGGTGATTGTCTACAAAAGCAGACATAGGACTTATTTGTACTGTGTATGTGTCGTTGGCTGAATATTCAAATAAGCCATAATAGGGGTTAAAGAGTTCTCTGGATACCAGGAAGAAGAATTCTCTGGAAGGCCCACTGTAATCCAACCTGTAAAACAACAACAACAACCCACATGAAGAATAATCAGCTTTAACTTTTCCTAGGTATTGGGTATATTTTCTTCTGTTTTTAAACTTTCTAAAGAATACTATTACAGTGACATTCTACACATCAGGGCTATCCAAACAGAAGTGAAAAAATTCTTATCTCTGTACTCTTGACCCAAAATAACAAACTAGACATTTATACAACTCATATCTAAAACTACAGCTACCCATGAGACATGTAAATAATACTCAGTGCACTCATGATTTATACAAACACACACAAATATACATTTCTTAAATGTCCAATGCCAGGTAGCAGGGAAAGGCGTGTCATGGGAGTGTTTCATTCACACAAAGGAAAGCAGTTACATCTACTTAAAGGAAAGGCAGGCCTCAGGGATTTCTGGAAATTTTCTGAATGGGGGAAGAAAAAAAAAGTCTCCTTAGGGAGATCAGAGACCAAAAAAGAAAAGAAAAAGAGGAATAAGAGGATACAGTGAAAGGTATAAATCATAAAACACCATGGAAAACTAGAGACAAGGGAAAAGAGGGTGCAGTCAGCTCTCTACGGAGGTACTCGGGTGGGCTGGAGCTCTAGACCCCGAACACACTGCTGATTCCACCTGACTTGCAATAGCTTCAGGGTCGGGGGGGAAGTGGAATTAAGACAGTGAAGGGTTTGAGAAATAACAAGTGGCCAACGATGCCCAAGTGGGATGGGCGCAATAAAGAGAAATGTGAAATATAAGGCCACTTGAGATGCTAAATTGAAAATGAATACACTATATCAGCCCTTTTATAAAAAGTACACACACAGATTCAACGATGGGAGTGAGGTGGGTAGCCAGCAACTCCAAAGACTTTTGTTTGCTTTATCCTTCCCACCACCTCGACCTCTTCCAAATCTGTTATTTGGGTATTATTGCACTGTGTGTGTGTAGTGTGTGTGTATGTATGTGTGTAGAGTGTGTGTGTGTGTGTGTGTAGTGTGTATGCAGAGGCCAGACAACAAGTCTTCAGGTGACACCTAGCTTTTTGAGACAGGCTCTCTTACTGGCCTGGAGCTCACCAAACAGGCTATGATAAGTGACCAGTGAACTTCAAGGATCCACCTGTCTCTGCACTCCCAGTAGTGCTAAAATTATAAGCATGAGCTAACAGCCCTGGACCAATTTAAAAACAGTGAGTTCCTGTGGTGATATAGTGTGTACCCTAATAAACTTGCCTGAGGATCAGAGGACAGAATCAGCCACTAGATTAGACATAGAGGCCAGACAGTGGTGGCATATGCTTTAAATCCTATCACTCAGGAGGCAGAGACCTGTCTGAATCTCTGTGAGTTCAAAGCCACCCTGGACTACATGAGATTGACTCAGTCTAGGAGAGAAACAGAGCCAGGCAGTGGTGGCACACACCTTTAATGCCAGCACTTGAGATCTCACGCCTTTGCTTGGGAAGCACACACGCCTTTAATCCCAGGAAGAGATGTCTGGGCAGAGAAAGGTATATAAGGCGTGAGGAAACAGGAACTCACTCTCTTTAGGCTGAGGATTTCGTACAGGTAAGAACTAGTGGCTGGTTGCTCTGCTTCTCTGATCTTTCAGCTTTCACCTCCATATCAGGCTCCAGGTTTTTTTTATTAAAAGACCATCTAAGATTTGAACAAGTTCTGGGTATTGAACTCAAGCCTTCCTGTTACTTACTGACGGAGGTATCTTTCCAGGCCCTTTAATCCTGTCTCACTCTGTAGCCCTGGCTGGGCTGGAACTGACTATGTAGATCTCAAACTCCAAACTTGCAGAGATCCACCTACTTCTGCCTCTGGATGCTGGGAACAAAGGCATGCACTACCTCACCTGGCCTCCATTATTGTATTATTATTATTATTTTAATGAAAGTGGAATCATCTGGGCCTTTTCCAGTGACAGAATTTTATGACCTAGAAAATAATCCTGTTATAGGCAGAAGATTTGGAAAAATAAAAATGTAGACAAAATAAAAATGACCTTTTTATGTAGTGATAGTGTAACTGAATTTGCACAGTGTGGACTTCAACAATTCACATATTAATTTCCCACTTTTGTTATATCTGACTATCGATACCATTATTTACTTAATATCTATTTTCAATAAATCAACTGGGATTTTTTTTTCACTGCACACTGTCTTACATAACATTTTTGAATTTTCCAAGTGCTAGTTCAACCTTTTTTTCTAATCTGCGTCAAAAGAAACCTAAGTGGTACAGTTAAAGCTGTCCAGCACAGCATGGGTAAGGACTGCAAGCTCCTCAGTTCATACCCACAGTGCACCTGTGGGAAACCTCCAGGGCAGAAAGGGGCAGGTACTTGCGACTCTAGGGACCAATCAGGCTATGATGACAGTGGCCTGGTGGCCCTGTCATTATAAATGCTTATAAGGAAGTCAACGTGTGGCTCCAGGATAGGCTAGGAAGGCCATCCTCAGGCCGCTCAGAGGTACCTGGAAGCTCAGGCTACCCCACCATCATGCAGCATGTTTGTGGCTTCTTCTCCCTCTCCTAGTTCTGGCTTCGGAG